CTTTTTATCCACCCAGGCCCTTTTTACCCACTCCACACCCGCCTTCATCACACAGCCTTTATATATAAATGGTTGTTTATTTATTTATTTTTCATTTTGTCTCAATTTTCGATGTCATTATGAAATGTCAAATGAAATCGAAATATTATTAACGATGAGCGAAATATTATATTTTTAATACCATTTCGAAATGCTCATAGCCTAATTCCTTGCATTGTTAACGACAAGCGAAACAGTCAATCCTAACAAAAGTTATGATACGTCAAATAGGCCTTTACAAACTAGTAAATTTTGATAACATTCTAGCTTTAAAATTTTGCTTGTGATAGTATGCTAACCAAATTCATAAATCGTTTATGTCATCTTGAAATTCGTTTCGAGAGCTATGTTGTAAACATATCGAATGATCCAAACAAAATCGTTTGAACATTGAAAATAATTTAATTAGCTTCTCAAAAAGAGATGCATAACTTGTTTTTTCTTTACAATTTGTCAATTATTTCATTAATGTTTATTATTTTTGCTCGATAAATTTCTTAATATAATTTACATCATTTTTTAAAAATATTTTTACATGTGATATGACATAAAAAAAATTTCGAATCTTTATACAAAATATAATAAATTAAGATTAAACAAGGTTCAAATTTGAAATATTTTTTTCCTTTTAAATCCATGTTTTGAAAAATGAAAGAACAAATTAATTAAAAAAAAACATTGAATAAGTTTCAAGTTTGAATTATTATTATTTATTTCCTTTTTAATCCACATTTTAGCCGCTCTTGGGTTTTCTTGGCTTTTCTCGGTGCAATTTTTCAGCCTTGCCCTTACTGTGATATAGACATATTTTGCTGTTTTTCGCCACTAAACCTCGGGATACTTGACTTCCAAATTCAATGATCTCGTACAAGCTCTTTAGCTGCAAAAGTTTGTTATTTGAAGTACGTTTTAGAAACGAAAAACCTTTGGATAGTAGCAATTGTGTATGGAAAGACATGATCACATGCTCCATAGTTGTGTTCAAATAGGGACCATTTACAGTGGGTCACGTGCCCCCACAATAGATTTGAAAATTCAATATTTTGCCCAAAATTTTTTCAAGATTTTCATAAAGGTCCTTGAAGTTTTTAATTTTTGCCCCTACAATCAAAATTTTGTATAATTTGCCCCCACAAATCTTGTCATCTAGCTCCGCCCTTGTGTACAAATGATCAGTTTGAAAAATGTATCAAAAGACCATCAGGTGGCTTGTAAGTGAAGCTTGAGAAAAATATCCATACCAAAGCAAAAGAACTCTCTTTGGTGCCTCCTTTCTATTGGCCACAAATATTAACAAACCTCTGAAGACAATTCTGAAACTTTAAAGGCATCTTTCCAGGCCTATGTGTCGAACTATTGCATTGGCTACAAATCGAGTTGCATCAATTGATAAAACTTTAACAAAGTTTATCAAACCAACCTAATAAAAGAAAGCTTTAAGATAACATAATTAATTAAGAGTAGCATATAGATTGTAGTAAAGCAGTTTGTGTTCCTTATAACTTTCTGTATAGAGCAAAGGTTATACTCTTGTATATTTAGCCTTGTTGGTATTCTAATTGTATTTTAGATTAAACCGTAGAGAAAATGTAAAGATGATAATGTAGAACAAGTATTGAGAAAGAAATGAAATAAGTCATTTTAGTTAAATCCCTTGCTTGCAAATCCTTTTATGAAGTCTCAGTAGAAACCAAAGGTCGGTGTTTGATCGAAATGTTTGAATTAGCATTTGCTCGAAGAATTGTCTTTTACTTGTATTTTAGGTGCGCTGGTTGCTTCAATAGAGATGTAAAAGTTAGTTGATCTATGAAGGCATGAGTTGCCCGACGTAGGCTAAATTTGGGGTTTGCGTGGACATCATTTAGAGATCCGATCAGAATATGGCGAGGCGAATATTAAACATTTCATTTCGAATAACGTATCATATTTGGTAGAAATGATGAAAACATCTTGACCCTATAAAGACTCGTTTTGATACGACTCCATCGAGTTCCCTTGACCAAGTCATTGCTCATGTCTTTGGCTCATAAGATCATGAAGAAAGGAAAATATTATGACCATTTTGGTTAACCCATGTGATAAGTGTATTATAGACACTTATTTGGGCCTTTAAGTTAGAGTATTTATCATTTATTTTGTTAAATTATAGCTTAATTCTATGTGAATTGTGTTTGTTAGGTATAAATCAACATAAATGGCGAAATTGAAAAAATGATATAAAGCTCAATTGCAAGAGATCCAAAGTTCAGGGACTAAAGTGAAAACATTCAAAAGTTTTTTCGGAACTCATGATGAAGATTCAAGAATGTTAAGGGTCAATTGGATGAAGAAAAAAGTCAAAGGAAAGAAATATAATCAAAGTATTATCACATCAATTTTCCAACAAAAAAGTTCAGATTTTCGGCATTAAATTGAGACTCATTTTTGGCACATAAAACGTTCGAAATGAAAAGTGATATTTAAATAAGATTGTAGCCCTTTAAGTTATCTTTCTATTGCACTTTGAATCAACTCAATCGGATATCAGGAGAGAAAAGTTATGATAAAAGTATAGAAGACTACTTGAGACAAAAGGAGGTGCGTACCTAGGCCTGTAGATGAGGCACGAGCCTCCCCCTCTTTTAAGACCGACTGAAGCCACAAAATTCACAGAGACGCATTTCCTAATTAAGCTTAGGTGTGTGTCCCAAGGTAAAACGGAAAAATATATATATTTTTTTCTTTTCTTATTTCGGTATCTTTTAGGATGGAAGTTTTTAGTGTCCTATATATCAAGAGGCTGTCCAGAACAAAAGATAACCTAGTTTTCAACATAAAATAGTAAAAAAAATTAAAAAATTAGAGATTTTTACATTCATGGAGTGGAATTGCATTATTTGGGGTTGAGTTTCAAGTGAGGAATTGAAGTTTCATGTTCTTCACAAGTTTCATAGTTTTAGGTGATGTTTCTCTTTCTTTTGAATAATTTTCATATAACAATGGTAGACTAAATCTTTTATGTATTGAATGGATGAAACCTTCGATTTGCAGTTTTTAATTCAAGATTTATTATTTTTTTATTTAATTCTTGTGTTCTTGATTAAATATGCACGAATCTTGTTTTGTTTGAATGTTTTGTCGTCATTTAGACAACTAGTTATTTATTTGTAGTATTGGGAGACTTACAATAAGTAAAACACTGCATATTTAACACACTAGTAATGGATATTAGGAATAATATTTATAACGTGTATAATTTTATGAAATAATCCTGCTACTGAATGCGTGCTTTGCATATGAATTCGAACTAGGAATATGATTGGATTGCGTTAAGCATAGATTTAGTATATCTTAAAAGAGAATATTAGATATTAACGTATTATTGACTATCAAGAACACATTAATCAAGTTGCTTATATATGTCGAGAATTGGAATTAGACATTAATAGGTGAATTCTGAAATCCAATACATGCATCTCATTTTTGGATAAAAATCGATCTTTTATTGCTTTCATAGTTTAAATTAGAATAATAATAAAAACAAATCTCTTTTGTGCTACATTAAATCAAATTTGATTATAACTAGTAAACTACAATAACAATTATTCATCGTCGGATGATACTTTTAACTCTCTAAATCTATCGCTTGTCAACGACCATGTACGCTTGCGTGTTTTATCTGAAGACCACGCTTCAATTTTCAACAGCCCATCTTTCTTTATAATATATATTCTTTGCTATTGACGTTAACAACACGAGTTCATGCATTTGTTATACTTATAAAGCCCTTGGCGAACTCTAGGTCGACAAGAATGGTGTTTTTAGGTTCGATATTGACGTTAATAGTCATAATTCAGTGGCATTCGAGATATTGGATAGATTGAGAATTACTTGGAATGTGTTTTTGAAGGGTTTTGGGAGTATGTTCACCATGATGGATTGTAGGGTGGTTTGCAAAGGAGTTGTTGCTATCAGGGTGTTACTCGAGTGGTGGCACTAGTGGACTGGTGGCAGACTTGATGTTGGGCTTGAGGTTAAGTGGTGGTGGAGAAAATGAGTATAGGGTGTTGAGTATAGTGAGTTGGAGATATGTTTGGGTAGATGATGTCCTTAGGTATTTTTAGCATCTTCTTTTGCCCTAATAATGTACTTTTTTAACATTTATGGACAATATGATATGTGATATTTAAATTTTATTTGTTTAATAGCACTTAGACAAGGTCGTCGCTAAGAGAATATTTATGCATGACAGAGCAATAACTTTTGTGCTAGCTTGACATTTGGGGTGTCCCAAGTTTTTTTCTAACTACTTGTTGGACATGTTTAGTTATGATAGTCTAAAAATATTTGATATCGATTTACTTTGCTAAAATCATTAATTCTTTCAATTTAATCTACTTCCACTTCAATGCCATGTTAAATGGAATATATTAAGTCTTAAAAAAAAATTAAAAAATATAATAAGTTTTAATTGATCATTTAAATTAAATTATCGAATATTGGTAATAGTATCAGCAAAAGAACGTTCTGCCGTGCTTCCAGACATGGTTCAACTCTACATATTCTTGTATAGTCAAAGGGGGTCAATTTTTTTATTTAAAAAAATTCATATAATTTAATTCATAACAATTTTCGCATTGAATCCACAATACTAGTATTTTTTAGTTAAAAATCTTTGGGAAATATTCACACTTGGGTAGATTTTGGTGCCCATATTGTGCATGCCTCACCTTATGAATAAGCAATTTCTTTCTACCAAATATGCTCTCACTTTTTAAAATTGGCTTCACTAGAAAATAGAAAGAAAATTTTCGGAACTTGTAAGAAGTTTTTATCAATAGTCCTTTTATGAACTTTCCATTTTTTTCTTTTTCCAGCGCTGCTCACACTTTTCTTCATCCCCTGAAGTCCAAAGAATTACAAGAAATAATTGATAAGCCGCATTTTTCTGGCGACCGGAAATTTTCAGAAGGCGGCTAAAAATGGCGACAGAATCTTGGTATGTACAGCCTTCTATTGCTGGTTCTTCGACTTCTCAATTAAATTATATATTTGGCCGACCTAAGGCAAAAAGTTTTATTGGTTGATACAAAGTCTCTTACCCCTTCTCTTGAAAATTGAATAAATTATTGGGAAGATATGCACCCTAAAAATTTGCACAAATTGATGAGTCTTCAAGAATACGTGAAAACACTTTATGCATGTTTATGACATTAATAACATATCTTATTTATATTGTTTACATGCCACCGGTATTCCTTTTCTTGGTTTAGTTAGATATATACCACAACAACAATAATTTGGATTGACTTGACCTATAGAGAACAATAAAAAACTATGCTTCTATACTTATTTTAGCCTCAGTTTCTCTGCATTTTCTTCTATTTTGCCTTTCCTTTATTGGATGTTTACCTTCAAGATGAATTGTTTATGAGGTAGTACATTATTTAGAAAATCGTTAATTCTGAGTTTGTGGCATTTTACATGTTTATCAAGAAAAAAGGCCTTGTAAATCAAGGAAAAATATTCTCCTCAACAAAGTTATGATTTAAATTTTGAGTAGTTATTTAAGCAGTGTTATGTTTCCTATAGATATATGTAGCTTCATATCAAACATAGTACTCGTGTCAATTGTTTATGGATCATGTACACTAGCAAATTTAACTTCAGATTGCTGAAATAAGGATCAATTGTTCTCTATCAATTCTAGGAACAAGGAAAAAGAAGTCTTAAGGCATGTTAATCATTAGGTTATTTCCTTGCAAGATTTTCAGATTTGCATTTCAAGGGTCATATGTGTATAATATATGCATATGATAGTCTAGTACTTGCCACTTGGATTGGTTGTAATGGTTTGGTTTAATATAGGTATGTTTTCTTTAAGAAAAAGGATAGAAGATTCAATTCTCCGTGCAGAGATGTTAGCACCACCATCCTTGGAACATGAAGAAGCAAGACATGTCAAGCAACAAAAAATTATTCGTGATCATGACTCGTGGGATGACCTCGGGAAATTGAATAAAATCCTCATCAAGCTAGACGAGAGTGCCAAGGTGGTTGATGCCCTTAATGACCTCAAATATAAGGTAGTATGCTTATCGTGCAAGTATTTGTATGTCTATTTGGATACAATTGTCAACCAGAAGACTTGAAAAAAGTGTGTGTGTTAGTGTAAATTTGCTCATTTGTTTGTAATATACTAAGTTATTTAAGGTTATAAGATGATAGTGAAGGGGGCTCAATATTTTGAGAAGTTGTAAATCTCTATTGCAGTCTGCGGAAGCTAAACTGATTACAGAGCTGGATACTGTAAATTATGAGCTTTTCAAGCAGGCATATTTTGCATTTGTAGATTTAAACAAGTTTTGGGATAAGTATGAGATGTCCAAGTTTCTTAAAAAAACATATGAGATGGAGGGAGCATGTCTCATAATTGAATCTAGACATGGAGACATTTACTCGGAAGTTTGACATTTGATACTTTATGCTTTTCCCTAGAGTCACTGCTCTTTATTAAATAGAATGCCCTTTATAACTCATTAGTGAGTAGGGATGATAATTGGGCTCGTCGGCTTGATCGGAAAAAACCCCGAGCCGGCTTGACTTAGTGCGTCCGAGCCCCATTTCTGGTAGTTGGCTTGAGCCGGACCAGCCCATAAAAAAATCAGAAAGGGAAAATTTGCTAAAATAGCTGCCTTAAGAGAGAAATTAAAAAAAAATTCAGAAAATCGAGCCAAGCCGAAAGTTCGGGTCGAGCCTTAATCTTTTGGCCGAGAATTTGCTCGGCTAGGCTTGGGCAAAAAAAACTTGCTGTAAAAAACCCCAAGTCGGGAATTTCGGCTCGGTTTGGCTCGTTGATATTCCTATCAGTGAGGGATAATTTAACTTCACAAAATATATTTATTATTCTATAATCTGCTTTTAACCTTGACTCTCTAAAATTTTACTTTGAAGCCATAAGCTATTGTTTTAAACAAAAATCAATTTTTTTTGTCAATTAACATAGGTTTGAAAAGGTTCAAGATTAAAACTGTCCATGAGCATTACCTAGAGAGTTTCTATTACATGCCAATAACTTGGTTGAATCCTTTCTTTGAGTTTTCTTGCATGGTCAATGTGATTGTCTATAATTCATTCTTGTTAATCATAATTCCTTTTATCTTCTTTTCGGCTCTGGCTTTATGTCTTTATCAATTATTTTGGTCGTTCTGCTAACGAATAGTTACAACTTTGTCAAATTGGTAACTAATTCTACATACCTAATTGCTTTTTCATTGGATAAACTTGTTTCGATGTGCTATGATGTGATCCACTTTTTTTTCCGCATTATTCATATATTCATTGTATGAAAAAGTTTGAAACATGCCCCTAAACCTCAGTAGACTTTTAGTATAGTTGGCTACATGGATTAGCTTCTTCCTCTCGAGACTCACGAGGACCATTTCCTCTATTAATGTACAAAAGCATTCGAGTTACTTAACATTTTGGGACAGTGTGGTCTTGGAACATCCCGAAATTTTCTAGTAACTTTTTTTTAATATTTTATACAGTATTTAAAAATTCTAGGAAATTAATTGAAGGATAGAATAAATATTATTAAGAATTGTAATTAAAATAGTATTATGGGGATTGAAAGTACAATTTCATAATTGTATATTTGCCCAAGGATTTAAAAGTGTAATTTTATAAACAAAGGAATAATTGCATATTTATCCAAGGTCTAAAAGTACAATTTTATAAACCAATCAAATATTAGCACATTACCCAAGGGGTTAAAAGTGCAATTTGATAAATTGCACAATTAACCCCTAGGATCAACTCTAAATATGGGATGCTTGTTAAATGAGACATGCGACCTATCCCTTTTATTTCTTAAGATATTGATCAAGGAAGTCACGAAAAGGTAAATATTGATGTTTTTCAACTACAGTTCAAGATACATTAATATGTGTATTATGTGTTTATATGTGGTTGTCTCTTTTTCCTACGTGATATGGTAGTTAAAAAAAAAAAAAAAGGTTAAACCCTAACCTTAAGGGTCCCCCACCAACCCTGCCCTGGAGTATCGTGAGGGAGGTAAATCGCAGGTTATGCCTCCAAGGGTACAGGGTGGAAGGCTGCTTGTCTACTTGCACTTACCCAAGAGCCAAATCCATATTTCAGGATTCGAACCCTTGACACAGCAGCCTCAAGCAAAGCTGAATTTCTTCACCCTCCCCTTTTACTACTTGGAGATGTGCATTGAGTTTATTTGAAAAACGTAGGGATAATTACATTTTCAAGATCATGCATACTTTTGTTGTCATGCCGATTGGATTGCAGTTGAAAATTTTGAATGTGAATCCCATTTTAGATATATCGTACTAATGTGTCCAAATAACTATATCGCTTTGAGGCTCCTGGTGGTTATTAATGGTAGCCAAGGATAGGTTGTTTGGAGTTCGAAACCTGTATATAGGCAATGTCAGGAAGTCCCTTGGTGGCCTTGGGACTATGGATAAGCACATTGAGCATTGTATATATGTAGGCCAGACTTTCAATTTGTATGTATGATATATTGATGTGGCATCTTGAGTCTCGATGGGCAATGATAGATGCGTTGATATTGGTTTGAGCACAAGAAAAGACCAAATTATTTTGAGCTCATACAGTATACTATAATAAGGATTTGGGCCCATGTATGCTTGATATGCATTATCATATTTACTGCTCTATGGTTCATGTTTTGTATTTTGTATTGTAGATGCTACTGCGAGAAACATAAATTATCAGAACCACCAAACATGTCGAAATTACTGAGGACCTCACGGCTATACATGTTATATATAGGCGTACTCACTATACGCATTTTTATACGGTTGTTGATGCAGAAAAATGGATTGAAACTTTTGAAGACGGTGAAGATTTCGTGATGGTAATGATTGACATTTATGATCTAGTTACTTGTCGTCATGTAAATACTATGATGTACGTGGAATAGACAGCAAGGTAGCATTATGTAAAATAGGAAAAATGGTACCCAGTAAAAGAGGGTAGTGAAAATGAAAAGATTTTGACAGACTTTGATGTACCGCTATATCAGCTTGCTGTAGAGTAGATTTAGAGAAAACTTTTTAAAAAAAAAAAAAAAAAAAATCTGCAAGTTTTTCTTTTGACCAAAATTTTTGGATAGTCATATGACTAACTTGTTATAAGATGTATTTTACAACACAAATTCTCTTTTGGTATGATATAAATTTGGCAATTCTTTTAACTTTTGATATTATTAATTTGATTTCCTTGATATGTTTTGATTTTGATGTGAAATGCTTACTTGAGTTAAATATAAATTGTTAAATCCTAGTATGATTCTGAATTAAGGATAAAAATAATTAATTAAATTAAGGGTAGAGCGTCACAATTCTTTTATCTCATTAGCGGAAGGTTTGTACTTTATTTTTTAACAATGACTGGGTCTTCTCCATTATGATCTTGATGTAAATTTTATTCTGACATGGGCAGGACAACTTACTCGAACGTTTAGACCTAATAAACTTTTCGTAATTTTTTAACAATGTTCCGCTTTTACTTACTGGCAAACCATGCACTTTTCTACGAATAGACCAATTTCACTTTTCATATTACGCCACAAGCATATGTTTTGGAGGTGTTTATACATTTTTGTTCCCCAAGGATGTGTTGCATATGGAGACAAAGTGAGCTTCTTCAAATATTTCCTTTTGTATCTTCTCATTCTTCCGTGCATGTAATATTCCTTTAAGCCCATGCCAACTTTTTGTTTAATCTTTTGTAAAAATGGACTACTATCTTGGGTTTTCTTAATTTGGTCTCAAACAATAGGTTGAACTATAAGGGTAGCAATTTGTGCGTCAATATCTGTTGGAGGTAAGATCGCCTCAAGTCATAAATGATCTATATCTCTGATTAATGATTTTTGTATAGTGGGTAAATCTGTCGAACGTCCTAGTATTTTCCTACTTAATGCATCAACAACTACATTAACCTAGATGATAATGAATGATACAATCATAATCTTTCGCCAATTCTAGCAATCTGCATTGTCTCATGTTCAATTCCTTCCGAGTGAAGAAGTACTTTAGGCTCTTGTGATCCGTATAAGTATCACATTTAGCTTTGTGGAGATAGCATTGTCATATCTTTAGTACATGAGCTACTGCTACTAACTTCAAGTCATGCATTAGATAACTTATGCATTGGATAGTTTTCTTCATACTACTTTAATTGTCTGGAAGTATATGCAATAACTTTACCATGTTGCATAAGTACACATCCAGGACCCTACTTAGATGCATCAATGTAGATAACGAAGCCTTCTGACCCTTTGGGTATGGTCAAGACCGAAGCTGAGGTCAATTTCTGTTTTAGTCCCTAAAAGCTCTGCTCACACCTATCCGTCCATTGGAACTTCACGTTATTTCTCGTTAGTTTAGTCATTAGAATGACAATCTTTGAAAACCCTTTAATAAATAGCCTATAATAACCTGCTAATCGCCTATAATAACTTGCAAAGGAAACATCAAATAAATTACCTTCGTATCATCTGCAATACTATGTTGATCATCATTCGCTCTAATTTCATGCATAATCCAAGAAGTCTTCAGTCTTGTCACATCTAGGTGGGTTTCCCTTGTAGAATTCTAAAGTCTTTCGAAATCCAAGAGTTTCATCATTATCTACTATAGGTTCATCGTCCCCTTTTACTAGTCAATATCCATCAACAGCAACTCCATTCCGAATGTTCTCAATTTCGTTTTCTCTATCTCTTGGTGTATAGAATAACCACTCTGTTGCTTGATTCACCCCGTAATCATCTAAAAACCCAATAAAATTTATACAATATATATTTTTCAGAAGAAATATCAAGAAAGGAACAAATTAACATATAAAGTGAAGATATGAATATTCTACCTTCAAGATATTTTGGGTTGTATCGCTGCAATGGCGGGCAAAGAGGTTGAGAAGCACTCTCAGCAAGCAAACTGAGAAGCACTCTCAGTAAGCAATGTGGCCAGCAAGCATCCCAAAAATTGCTTTCTATCATCGACTCCTTGTAAAGGATAAAGAGACGATGGGAAGAACTTCGATGGTAAAAACTTTGCTGCTGGCCAAAAAATATTTCCTATACCTCCCATACCAAAGGTGACATCAAGGTAAATAGTAAAATGGGTGGACGAAACAATCCATTTTTATAGAAAGACGAAGGTTTTGGATCGGATTGATTGTCGGAGTGCCAAACAATAGCAGCAAATTGGTTTCGAAGAAGAAAATGAAGACGAAGATGGAAGAAAATGCAAAGCATCCGTGTATTTATAGGGGGGTGGAGATGAAGAGACAGAATATGAGCAGCCACATTCTGCCTAATAAATGGAATTAAACAGCCCAAAGTCTTAAGGAAAAGTGGAGGAAATATCAAAAGAAAATGGGCAAGATTTTTAGCACAAAGCAGTTAAATGCTTGAAGAATTGACGACTAAAAAAAATAAACGTCAAATAAATGCACAAGAAGTTAATATATATGTTCATTAATGATGAACAAAGTTACAAAGGAAAAATCAAATTACAAAAGAAAAAGGCATCATATGTCTTAA